TACTTCTTTCCAAAAATCATACTGAGCAGAGTGTGAAGCATCTCTGTAGTTACTACCATGTCTACTTTCAGTACCTCTGCTGGAAAATTCTCTGGTCCTTCTGCTTTGGTGACCATACTGACTTTTTCAATTGCTAGTGTGTTAACATTAATCGGGAGCTTTGTAGGTGCTTCTTCGGTGTTGGTCTATTCAATAGTTCTTCCAAGTACTCTTCCCACCTATTTATTCTTGAATGATCATTCTGGTGTATCATATTTTCCCACTAAGTACATGCATACAATTTAAAATATCAAAAGATTGAATTACCTTCACAACGAGTATAATAAACTACTGTTACCTCGTTACTTCTTCTTGACGAACTTGCTATTTACTTCTTAAAAATCAGCTTATTATACCATTTTACTTAAAATCGGAAAACAAATCAACCTCTATTCATTGGTTGAATCTTCATAGTGATGTTTAGAACTGTTATCTACCCACCTGGTAGGTCTGAAACAGGACAAAACTTATCCTGAATATTGCATTGCTAATCGCCAGTCATTTCTACTAAGAATCCTGCTGACCATGTTTTCTGTATGCTTATTGGTTCTCAAAAGGTCAACACAATCATTTTCTGTAATCTAAATTTCATTTAACGCTACATATAATCAGTAGCACTGTTACTATTCAAATAACTTCGTTTGAAATATTAGCGTTCTCATTTTGATGACCAACTTTACCTCTCCTTAAAAAACAATCCGCAACCCTGTTTGAACATTTAGGCTGCATGTTTCCTAACATCAAAATATTTCAACGAACTACCTATTGTTCATGTGTTTTAGCGGAAAATCAATAGTCGAAGTAGTGAGACTTCATCAGTTGAGGTGGTTGGGATATGTGTTACATATGCCTAACCACCGACTGCCTCGACGAGCTATGTTTTGTGGTGTAGGAGTAGGTTGGAAGAAAGCTAGAGGCGACCAAACCAAAACATGGCATAAATCTATGAAGTCGTTGAGAAGTGCGCTGAGGCAGGTCGGTAGTTGTCGACTACCTGGTTGGAGTCCGCAATACGAAAGTAACCAATGATTAGAGACCCTGAATGACATGGCTCAAAATCGTTTGCAATGGCACAGGTGCATCCACTTTTCGTGTTCTCTCGAATCCTAATCTTCTGGATTCGTCAACGCCTCTACCTTTCTCTTTCTAAATTCATCTCACTGAATTATACTTCTCGAATCATATCTTCGCTCCTTAATCTTCTCCATTACTGCTAATACTTCTATTATCGCTATCACTCTAACAGTTGCGTCTCTGTGCTGCTGTGGTATAGCAACCTGAACTGATGTACTTACGTACGAAGTTCCGCGTTGTATCTGTCTGTCTTTCATTTGTTTTTTAACACGTCAATTATGTGTTTATGAATCACCTAATCTATTCAGGCGCATATATAAACTGTTTACAACCAATCAATGCACAAGTTACAATAAACTGCGTTAAGAAGCATCTTGGTGGTTGGCAGTCAGCTAAGAAAAGAATGAATTTTAATGGGCTGTCGATTCTTGAACCGTTCACTTCCAACTATCAATCATCGATTGTCTTGTAAAAGAGAAACTTATTGAAATATTTCGTGCTGAGAATTCCCCATTGTACTAACGATATAATACTGAATAAAGCCGTTCATATTATTATTATTATTATTATTATTATTATTATTGTTACTTGGCAACGTATTTTCTAATCTCAGTTACTTTTCAGCCAATTTTTCCACAGAATTTCTTAATATTTACTAGTTGAATGCTATTGAAAACCAAGAATTTTCTGTATCCATGCTGAGATTTAGTCAGTCATCAGGCAGTCAGTATTGATGAAACTCTCCAGATAAGTGAAATGGTCTACACGCTTGACTACTTCACTCTCTATCACTAGTTCCGGAGCTGTCGCAAGCCAATCTTGAAGCAAAATTTTACATTTCAATGGGGTAAAACTCATACCGAACTTGCTTGCATTGTTGCTTAGGATAGTCAGGACTATGTCATCAGCATACTATAAGTCTCTTAGTAAAAGGTCCACTCCTAATAAGTCAGACGGTGATAATGTCAACTCTACAATCATATCGACGACAAAGTTAAACAAGAATGTGGAGAGAGTGAACAGACCTGATGGACATCACTTGACGTAACCAATTTCAATGACACTTCGTCATAAGCTCTCACTCGACCCGCAGTATTCGAGTAGATAGAGTGAGAAAGCTTGTATAAGGTTAATATACTTCTTTGATACAACCTTTCAATGACAGTGCTTTTTTTCGCAATTATCCACTGTATAATAAAAAAAATCAATACAGTGCAATTCTATCCGACTGCCAATATATGTTGTAATCTAATCTATTTTATACTGTACAATTCCTGATAATAAAACTTTGAAAACTAACATTAACATTGGTTAACAACTAGTTTTTCAAACAACATTCAACTATCTATCGATATTCCTCACTCATCTATCTACCCTTCATCCATCATCATAGATAGATAGATAGATAGATAGATGTAATTAACGGACATAATGACCATTTTTATTCAAAAAAACGACATGAATTTACATGTTTTTATGATGTGAATAATATGTGTTAACAGTGTAGATAAATTTTTATTGATTGTAAAAATGTTATTTCCGGTTTTTCAGAAAAAACGCCATTTAATTAGGTTTTTTTTAACTTGAAATCAAATAATTGAAAATTGAACAATTTGAAATTTTATTCGGTACAGAATTCAAATTTACTCAAATGAATACACACACATGTAAATTGATGACTTGTCTTTATATACTATACATATTTATGTATATCACAATAGAAACAGTCAAATCTGACTTATTCATGATAGAGTTATGAAGATTAGTGTTCATGATCAAAATGGTGATTCGATCAATAAAAGATTACCATTAGAACAATGGAATCATACTGGACAGCTATTTCATGTCAGTATGTTACTATTCATTAATACTGTTGGGTTACTGGTACATTGGTTTAGAGGTTAAGCACTCGTGCCCGTGAAACCGAAGGATCAAGGTCCGAGTCCCACGAGCCGATGAGTAGCATATTAGGAGAAAACGGCTGTCCAGTGTTCCCAAGTTTCTAACAGTGATCTAACAATGATCCGTTCATGATTGCAGTCATAAATCTTACTTACTGAACAAACAGATTTCATCTTGTAGACTGTTTCAAATTAGAATTATGAACAGTGTGGTACAAAAATTACAATCCACTAGTCTTACATCGTTAGAAGATGAATAAACAAATGTTATCAGTCAGTAAGCTACAACGTAGAACTTCGTATGTACGTGTACGGGTTCAAGTTGCCATTCCACGACATTAGCACACACAGAGAGAGTTTGAGTCGCTAATTCAAGTCCCATAATAGTAGTAAAGAATGTATCATTACTAGAGGTTATGGTCAGTCAGTCAGTTACAAAGTAGAACTTCGTAACGTAAGTACAATAGTTCAAGTTGCCATACCACATTAGCACAGAGACGCAAATGTCAGATCAAATCCCATAGTGATAAAGATAGTAGAGGTATTAATGGTGATGAAGAAGACTAGGGTTCGAAGATAATATTCAAGAAGTATAATTCAGTGAGATTAGTTAAGAAAGATAAAGGTAAAGGTGTTGACTAATCCAGAAGATTAAGATTTGAGAGAACACAAAGAGTGGATGCATCTGCACCATTGCAAACGATTTCAAGCCATGTCATTGAAGATTCCTAACCATCGGTGAATTTCGTCTCGCGGACCCCAAACAGGCAGCTTACATCTACCTACATGACTAAGTCCACTCGTCAATGGTTTCATGGATTTGTGCCATGTTTTGATTTGGCCGCCTCTAGCTTTCTTCCAACCTACTCCTACATCACAAAACATACCTCGTCGAGGCAGTCGGTGGTTGGGCATTCGTAACACATGTTATGGAGAAAATTATCGCTCGTAGAAATTATTCAGAAAGTATAACCCAGTGAAATGAATTTCAAAAGAAGTTTAAAAAAGGCGCTGAGACAAAGAATGGATGTACCTGCATCATTGCAAACGATTCTGAGCTATATTATTCAAAGTCTCTGAATCATCATCAGTTATGATTGTCTCGTCGACCACAACTAGTAGTGTACACCTATTAACACGACTTATCCCAGTTGTCTGCGACTTCATCAACTTGTGCCATGCTTTGATATGGCCTAACCTAGCTTTCTTCCAACCTATGCCTACATCCTATAACATCGGTCTTTGAGGTAGTTGATGGTTAGGCATACACACATAACACATGTGTCAACCACCTCACAACTAATAACGATACACCTAGTGTGGTGCGAGCTACTTATAAGTAGTATATGATGTGAGTGTCAACGTAATGTCTGGCAACAGAAGACGGGGGAAGATCAAGAAAGGAAGAGTTAGAAAACAATGGAATTTGTATGAAACGCATGAATAGTGACAATGGATTGATGTTTTGCAACAGGAACAGTCCAGTTCGATATGATATTTTGCAAATTAACTAACGATTTACGATATGGTTTTCCAATTTTACTGAGTAACTCTGTAATTTTCGTTAAATATACAATTCGGTTGCCCCACCTGTATTCTCCTTCACTGCAACTAGTACCTGTTTCCTAAACCTAAGTGAATATGAACACTTCCATTTTGAATAACTCATCTTCAACAAGTCACTTCAGCGAAATAGAAACACATTGTTTTTTGGGTTTTAGTAATGAAATAACTTTTCTATCTATTTTTTAAATCATATAAATACGTTCGAAACGTTTCACTCCTAGCTGAACATGAAAAATGCATACATTATAAGCGAGCGATGTGCTGTGTGTGCATGTGTGCTGTGTGAGTGAGTGACGACTGACTAACTAATTCAAAATCGATCATATACCAACCAACATTGCTACTACATAAGTTTCATAATATCGACTACACAGAAAACAAGTCATCATCAAGATATTGACGGTGATTATACAAACAAGTTATATATATATATGTGTATATATATGAATATAAATATTGAAAAAAACCATTACACTCACTATTCAAATTAAATCAAATCAAACAACATGTGCACGTATACATCATCTTCAACAACATCAACAACAACGATAGTGAGAATAACAAGAAACAAATAAATAATTGAACATTTGAGTTTTTTGTTTGTACTGATTACTTGTAAACACATTGAACAAAATGGTCAATGAACAGGTGTCATCATTCATGAACAGTAGAATGATTGACAAACAAGGAATGGAAGAGAATGATAGAAGGAGAAGAAGAGGCGAACCCAGTCAGCCTTCATTTATCAGTACACACACACACACACACACAAGCAAATTGATCAGAATGATACTGATGCTGATGATGACGATGACACTGTAAATGAACGATGAATAATTATTGATGTGTGTGACATAACAAATGGACATATATACTGAATTGTTCGAGAAACAAGTTCTCTTTCCTTTGCGTGTGTGTAAGTGAGTGCATGTACGTTCATTTACTAATAATCCCAGTGAAGGGCAAGAACAATTCCATAAACTCGCCACAATTTGAATCAACTAGGTGAATAAAAGTTACATAGAAAAAGAAATTCAATGTTGTAGATGGTTGTAGTAGATTTCCTTCACTAATCGAATATAATCTAACTAATTTATACTGAATGAATAGTTGTGTGAAAATCAAGAGAAGCGTCACAAAAAAAACACACACACACACACAAAACCATGGTGCTAATATGAATGAACTGGTAATGTTCATACTACTGATAACAATAATAATAGTAGTAGTAGATATAGTAATAATAATAAATAATGAAAATTATGAATTACTAATTTAAATTACGCATCAAAACCATTGTAATAGTTTAGAAACAACTGATAAGTTAATTTGGAATATATAAATGGTTCTTGTTAGTACCCATTTAAGTAAAAACAATCAATCAAGGTGGGGGGAAACAAAGTGAGTGAGTGAGTGAGTGAGAGAATAAAACGTCTATGTACATAGATATTTATATATGCAACCGACCACAAAAAATATATATATATATGTATACGGTACTTACTATGATGCTCTGTTCAATTTCTTTTGTTTTGAACATGTCAATGATCAATCAATCAATATGGCATATCCAAGTAAAAATGGAATCAAGTTTATTGAACAGTAAGTATAATAATCAGAAAATTAACGACGTAATTCTGGTACTTTATCTAAACTACCAAATATATTCTTTAATTTCGCTTCATAATCATCAATATTTCTTCGCAAAATATCTAAACACGGACCAAGTAATCGTTCAAAACTGCCCACATCCAATACAGCCAATTTAATACGACCATCAGCATAAGCTGAGGCAGCACGTGGATGACTTGTCAACAAAGCTAATTCCCCGAAATAACCGCCTTTTTCAATGATAGCCACCTCCTTTTCTTCAGTCTCTCCACTTCTTTTCATTTTAATACGTACTTTACCTTCTTCGACAAAAAACATTTCATCACCTGGATCACCTTGTTTAATAATTTGTTGTTCATTTTCAAAAATTTTCGTTCTTAATGCATCCGCTATACTCATACGTTCATAAGCACTAAGACTTTCTAAAATTGGTACTTGATTTAATAATTCTTCATAAAGTCGACGTTTTTCAAATGCTTTTTTCAATACAATTGAACGAAACACTTCACGTGTCATAACCCAAACAACACCTTCTGTTTTAGCCAAAATTGTTGCAGCCCGTGGTGTATTATACATCAAGGCTAATTCACCAAACGAACCTTTATTCTCATATTTCCCCACAGTTTTCTCTTCATTATTGACTTTGACAATAATATCATAAATCCCATTTTCAATTACATAAAAATTATCACCATCTTCACCGAGGGTGATCACTTTTTCACCCGGTGATATATGACGTTCATACATAGCATCAATGACATCTTTCATTTGATCATCGTCAAGACAACGAAATAGTAGAATATCTTTTGTTGCTTGTGCCAGCCGTCGACGTTGTTCTTCTGTTTTAGGATGTACCACTTTGACTATATTCGCACTGTCATCTTTTTCTGGATCATAACTTTCTGCTGCAACACCAGCTCTACGTGTAGTACGTTGTGTAGGCATAGGCATTGGTTCACCTTCATCATCTTCTTCACTTTCTACGGTGGTTTTATTTGCACGATTACTTTCAGAGGCTGCCTTCTTCATGAGAAAATCAATAGAGAATTGAATTAAATTATCCGGATGTTCTCGCAGGATAGACACAGTTAATTCTTGTAATAGTTCCCTTAGACCAGGGGGTACAACAACTTCATTCTTCATTGTCATTGTTTAGAACGAAATAGATTTTTCAATGGAAATAACAAATTCACACTATTGGTTTTTGTAGATTGATTGAATTGGCCAATTGGAATTTTGTTCCACTAGTTAACCAAAAGCCACTAATTTGATTGGTTTCACGTCAAGGTCACGACGAAGTTGTGATGTGATATATAGACACACGCACACACACACACACACAACCTCAAGCAGAAATGATTTTAGTGTGTTTGTACCTCGTTCAGAATTGGTAAATTCACAAGGGTGATTTTCGCCTAATTGGACAGACCAATTTTTCATTCACTGTATTCTGGTGTGTGTTTGGCCTTCAAACCACTAAAAATAGGTTGCTGCTAGAAAATGAAAGAAGAACTTTTTCTAACTTGAAGCTAATTCTGAAAGTTTTTTATACTGGGAAAAAAAATCCTGAAAATTTTTCCCTAGTTCTTACAATTGATAAATAACAGTACCACTACTACTACTACTACTACTACTACTACTACTACTAATATTGCTACCAAATTGATTTGAGTTGTTTCTAGTGAGCCTGTCTGTTCTCTTGTAATTTGCCTGAGAAAAATATTTCCATCTGTCAGAGGATAATAGTAAATATATTATTTTCAATAGAGAAGAAAAATAGTTACATAACCACTAGTGGTCAGTGAAAAATGCTACACTCAGAATTATAAAAGATTAGTGTTTTTAAACAATGAAATCATGAATCGGTTATTGTTAGTGCATCATTTGAAACTTGGAAGCACTGGAAGATGGCCATTTTGTCCTTTTATGGGACTTATCAGTGGTAATGAGCATCCATGACTCCTGATTCGTGTAGGATTCGAACCGAGGACCTTCAGTTTTTTTTCGGGACGTTAGATCATTAGAGCTCGCTTGATAAATGCCTTTATATTGGAGTTCCTGTTTGCGAGCAAAGGCTGATCAGTTGACCTTGAGATCACATTTCCCATCAGGAAACTCCTTGGCCTTGAGTGGCTGCTGTGTATTTTAGTGTGCTATTTTTGTGACTGTCCCAAGGACGTTTCTATGATGTATAAATAAACGAGAGTTGTGTGATTGATTGTATTGTGCCTGCTGGGTGTTTGTAGAATACAATTTCTACGCTTATATCAAGACTTCTGTTTTACAGTTTTGGAATAAAAGGTAGCTTACCTGGACGCTGGTTCATTGTCTTATTCAGGTTCATCGAGTAAGCTAAACCCGTAATAGCTTCAAGCCTACCTAGTGACGAACCTAACAGTTTTAAGAGAGAACGCTTAACCTCTGGACCACTAAGCCGGCATTCAACAGTGTTATTGTCTAACTTTAACCAACCTGAGGACTTTACACAACCTCATCCATTTATCGTTGGTAGTTACTTCCCACACCCCGACAGGGCTGAACTCCACTGGTTACGTCTTCTCACTAGAAGCTATTCACTAGTGAGCACATTTTATGATTTTTCAATTAGAGTTATGGAGATTAGTGCTTTTACACACTGAAATCATGAATCAATCATTGTTAAACCACCATTAGTAACCTGTAAGCGCTAGTCGGCCATTTCATCTTAGTACAGAACTTATCAGTAGTGAGCATCCATGACTCCTGCTCAGGTGGATAATTGTGGTAGAGTTTCCTTCTGTGGGCTGAATGTTTTTTGGCTGAGTGAGCTTTCATTGCCACAATACATCGACAGCACAAACTTCAGGTAGAACAAGCTAAGTATCATACGTGGAAAAACTAGAATACTTCACTTTTATCTACCCGACGTTCATCCGGATAATCTTGTTGGGAAGAACAATGGAAGCTCCACAACCAAACCAAATCCAGCTCAAAGAACAAAACTCCATATATTCCACCGAGAAACTATGCTGACAGTCAGCTTTACAATATCATGAAGTAAATGGATTCTAATGTGGTGCGAGCTACTTATAAGTAGTATATGACGTGAGTGTCAACGTAATGTCTGGCAACAGAAGATGGGGGAACATCAAGATAGGAAAAGTTAGAAAACAATGGAATTTGTATGAAACGTATGAATAGTGACAATGGATTGATGTTGTTTGCAACAAGAACAGTCCAGTTCGATGGATGATGGACTGATATTTTGCAAATTAACTAACAATTAACGATATGGTTTTCCGATTTTACTGAATAACTCTGTAATTTTCGTTAAATACAATTCGGTTGCCCCACCTGTGTTCTCGTTCACTACACTACAACATTCATTCAAATAATTTGAATATTGTACTCATATCCATCAACTTATTTTAAAGTTAATTTAATAACTTAAACACCTAATATTACTGTTGCAGAATTATTGTAAACTATTGGATATTGAACAATCAGTTAGTTTGTATATTCTCGCATGTTTTCTTAATCCTTCCTAATTCGATTTTCAATAATGACGAATTTCAATATACGATTTTAACTCTAAAACATCAAAATGAAATTAATTTTTCGCCGAAAAGAAACAACCCTCATTTTCCTTGACTTTTAAAAGAATATTTTTAAATTTTAGAAATGAAAAAAAACGGATAAGTGAAGTGTTTTGGAAAGCAAATTTACAAAGTTTATTTTGCTGAGGAGTCCTATACCAGGACGAAATGGCCGTCTTTCAGTGCTTCCAGGTTTCTAATGTCGCTGGTCTAACATTGATCGATTCATGGTTTCAAAAAAATGTGTAACTTAACAATCTTCACAACAACCCCGTAATGCAAATTACCTGTGCTCACTAGTGTGACTAGCTTCGTGAGGAATCTTCTCCGAGTTCTAGTGGGAAGACGTCGTGACCAGTGAAGTTCAACCTGTTCGGGTGTAGGCAGTGTCTACCGAAGACTGTGTATGAGGTTGTGCAACTCCGTGAATTTGATCAAGTTAGACATTGACATCGTTAGATACCGGCTCAGTGGTCTAACGGTCAGGGCATTCGCGCGCAGTACCGAAGGTCCTGGGTTCGAATCCTGCGGGGTGCAGGAGTCGTGAATGGGCACTGCCACTGATGAGTCCCATACCAGGACGGAACGGCCGCACTTTCAGTGCTTCCAGGTTTCTAATGGTGGTCTAACATTGATCGATTCATGGTTTCAAAAAAATGTGTAACTTAACAATCTTCACAACCCCGTAATGCAAAGTTTATTTTGTCGAAGGAGATAAAAAAACTGTCAATAAACTTAGCTCGTATATATATTTGCCAAACATTATATCATCACATCAGATAGTGAAGTTTATTTCAGTCAACTAAACTGTTTTTTTTTCTGAAAAAGTTTTTCCTCCATACTTTAATGCATTCCCGTAGTACACACAAAAATAATCAATAATCCTGCAAAATAAGCCAATGAAATACGCAGTAATTTACCGATTGGTTTATACTGAAACATTAAAGTACATTTTTTCCTCTGTTTATCATTGTAATCCTAAATGAATCATTATTATAAGTCACCATTAGAAATCTGGAAGCACTGAGATAGACGTTTCGTGCTGGTATGGGACTCACCTGTAGTAGTGCGTATACTTGAAACTATGACGAGTTCACCTTGGTGGATAAACGAGAACGTGACAATGAATCAGTGTTCTGGTAGGCTGGCTACTTTGATCCGTTGACTCAAAGGAACTAACGAAAAGTCTTAATATAGCGTAGGAAGTGTATTCTACAAACACTCAGCATGGCCATTGATCTCAAGTACACAAATCTCGTTTATTTATACACCATAGAGACGTCCTTGGGAGAGTCACAAAAATAGCACACAGTAATCAATCACAGATAAGGGTTCTCCTGGTGTGAAATGTGATCTCAGGGTCAACTGATCAGCTCATGAATAAAATCCAAAATAAAGATATTTATCAAGCGAGTTCTGGGGATCTAACGTCTCCAACAAAAATCCTTAGATTGATCAAAGTTAGACATTAACACCAGTAGATGCTAGTTTAGAGACCGAAGGGTCTGGGTTCAATTTCTGTGAGTAGCGAGGGTCATGAATGCCTACTGCTGATAAGTCTCATACCTGTATACTAACGATGGTCTAATAGTGAATGATTCATGATTCCAATCATGAATTTATTTTAACAGAAATTCATTTCAGATTGATTTTATTAAGAGAACTAACGAAAATTCCATGTTCACATAGAGATTGGTACAACAATTCATATACAATCTAGGCATATCTTTCGAAGCACGTTATTTGTATGCAGAAATGATTGATTGATTTACTGACTGACTGAATTGTATAAATCCAATATATTCAAGTACAAGTTATGTGGTGAAAATACTTAAAAAAACTTCTTTCTAAATGTAGCGACTCCCCCCGGAGCAATTCTGGCGCTTCTGCTGGTCTGAAGCTCAGATAAAGCAGAAGCGTTGGGCTGATGAGGGTTAGCGACCCTCACACTGAAATCATGAACCAATCATTGTTAAACTACCATTAGTAACCTGGAAGCACTAAGAGGCTGTTTCATCCTGGTATGGAACTCATCAGTAGTGAGCATCCACGACTCTTGTACGTCGCAAGATATTCACTGTGGCAGAAAATGAAATTTAAAATGTAGACTTTTATTCAATTACATTGGTTGTCTGAATATTGTCTTTGATGATGAGAACTTCAATTGATCAGTCTCATTTGGTCTATATATATATATATATATATATATATATATATATATATATTCATTCTCTTTGAATGACCTCTATATTGCCATGGAGTTGCAAGCATCATTAACAAAGATAGATTGTGTCCAGCGGAAGAATCCAGGATGTGTGTTTTATTCTATTCGGGACTCAGTAGGTAAATGGATAGCGTTTGAAACGGATGGTACTGGTTTCGAATCGTGGAGTGAATATCAATTTTGAGATGCTGGTAAATCTAGCTGATGCTTCCTAAATAGTATGAAATGTGAGTGCTGGATTCTAACACTGGACATTATCCATCTCTGTTGATTAAAAGAATGACTAGTACTTAGGAATATAACTAGAAGCGAGATTAGAGGACAGAGTTGGTTGAAGAATGCTTACCGGTGACTATCAGTTAATACCTTCATCAAACCAACGACTATAATGTATGTTTAAAACAATTA